GACCACCGTGTCCAGCTGCTCCTCCTTAGTCCCTCGGTCTTAGCCCTGTCCTGTCTTCACACGCGTGACCCTTGTGGGGACCACGAATCCTTATGTGCAGCCGTCCCCCAGCATACAGTCCCATGGCCCCACTGGAAGTTGGGTAATTCTGACGCAAGTCAAATACCTCTGTTATTTTTCCATTTTCAGTTACTGCCTTTTCTTATCGGTATCTGTATAAATCTCGGTTTTGTCTTTGGGGTTGGGTATAGGTCAACATCTGCAAGAGAACATCTGAGAAGAACAGCAAATGAAGTGCCGCCACATTGTGCGTTGTGCATGTGACTAATGATAGGCGGGATGAAACCATAAACGCAGGTCCTTCTCTAGGGGCGACCTGTCCTTCCATGGTGTCTGTTTCTCCTTCCCAGGGGCTCCTCCTCCACTGGACCAGCCCCAAAGCCTGGACCAGCCCCTAGCTCTGGAAGGTAACAATATTCAGCACACGGAACAAGCCCGACACGCCGTCAATCACTGTGGGGTGGCCATTAGCCTGCTCACATGGAGGGTCTAGACCTGTGGTTCTCAACCTTCCTAATGCCGCGACCCTTTAATACAGTTCCTCAATATTGCGGTGACCCCCCCAACCATAACATGATTTTCATTGCTACTTCTCAACTACTTCCCAGGTTGAGACTGCTGGTCTAGGCCCATACTCTCCCTTTGTGCACAGAGGAGCGCTCTGTGTGTTCTGTGACATACAGGCCAAGCCTAGAGGGCACTGGGGCTGCAAGTGGGGAGAGAGCATCCAGACAGCCCCAGAGCTACTGCCTCCTCCCTCAGAGACACCTGATTGCCCCTTGGAAAGATGTTGGCGTTTGTGCCAAATGTAATTAAAGTAAAGCCATGCTGGGCTGCCAATTCATTCATGCATCCACTCACTCACTCAGTTGGTCAGAGCTGCTCATCAGCTGTTCATCAGGCGGCAGACAGGATGGCCTCTCACCTGACCCGCCCTCACTACCCGACTGACCGACGGACCCTAAACAGAGCAGGATTGCAGCCCCAAGAGGCTTCTCACCAGATGGTAATGTGGGGCCGGTAGACCATTTCCATCAGGCTTTTGTTACTTTGTATGTTGAAATAATTGTAGACCTAGGAAATTGCAAAAAGTTAGTACAGGGTGTGGAACAAGTGCTGGCTCCTATCATGGGTTAGGTTACTAGTGAAGCACAGATACTTCATTAAATAAGCAACAGACTTCCATGCCTTCAATTTTACAATATCAGGTAGAGGGAGTGTTCCCTAACTAGACATTGCATTCACACCGATAATGCATTCAGGTAAGAGAGCTGCAGCTGCTTCATATAAGCCCTTTGGAAATCTTCCGGCTCTCATACCGATGAACTGCTGCATTCCCATATCCCCTGCGTCTAACCTTAGCCCTTTGGTGTGCATATGAGGTGATTGAAAATACCATGGCTTGTGTCCTTAGTCCTCAAAGCAAGAAGTGTATAAACTTAGAGGATAAGTCAAAAACCAATGGGCTCACTTTTTGTATTGTTTAATAAACATTTGATTTTGTACAAAATAAATAGTACGGAAAGATCCTGCATGCCCTTAGTTTAACTCAATGGTAACATACACAGAGGTGAGAATTTGACACTGGTACAATTCACTGATCTTAAGAGCTTGGTATACGCCCATGTGTATGCACCTGTGGGAGCGTGTAGGTGTGCATGCACAGTATGTAGTTCTATGCAGTTCCATCACATGTAGATTCGTGTAACCATCAGCAAAATCAAGTACAGGAGGGCCCATTGCCACAAAGACTCTTCTTGTCTAGCCCTCTACCCTGCACCCCACTACCTCCAATTGTCATTTCAATGTGATATAAATGGAATTATCTTTATGGTTGGCTCTTTTCACTCAGCCTAATCCCCTTGACATCCATTCCAGTCATGCCCTTCCATAGTCTGTCCTGTGTATTGCCGAGCTGCCTCTGTGTGGTATGCTGACACACAGAGCTACTGTCAACATCCATGCTCTTGTTTTTGTGGATGTAAGCTTTCATTTCTCTGGGGAAAAGGTCCAGGTGTGTGATTAGCTGTGTTATATGGAAAGCATGTGTCTAGTTTTATAAAAATCTGCCAAAGTATATTCCAAAGCGACTGTACCATTTTACAGTCAGCAATGGGTGGGTGTTCTGGTTTCTCCACATCAACACGTGATTCTCTCATGATTTTTATTTGAACTATTCCCATAGAGGACCAGAGAAACTGAAGGGGAAAATTGAAAAGACCACGGACTGCTAAAAGGCCAAGCAAGTCTGTCTTGGAAGACATATGGCCAGAGTGCTCCTTAGAGGCAAGGCTGGTGAGACTTCGTGGTACATACTTGGTACATGTTGTCAGGAGAGTCCAGGCCCTGGACAGGGACATCATGTCTGGTAAGGTGGAGGGGCAGTGAAAGGGGCAGCCATCAGGGAGAAGGACTGACACAGGGGCGGCAACACCGGCCTCGAGAACAGGAACAAGTGTGAGGATGGAGCAGACCTGGGCAGTGTTTCGTTCTGTTGTATATAGTTGCTATGGGTCGGAACTCTGGCACCTAACAATAGGTATAATCTGTGTCCACTGCCAGTCTGTCAGTACTGTGGTTGGTTGTGCCACTAGCATTCCAGTACCAGCAGGGTCGCCCATGCTGAAGTTTCAGCAGAGCTTAGAGACTAAGGCAGAGCAGCAAGAGGTATGGGGATCTCCGCCCTAGACAATAGGACATTGTCCAATGTATTGCTGGACGGTGAGCGCCCTTACAGTGATTGCAACAGGGAACTCAAAGATGACAACCCTCTTGGAAGATGGCAGATTTGGTCTGTGGCACGAGCCACCACGAGTCAGAGCGGATTCTGCAGCAACACACCACTCGGTGTGCAGCGACAGCTCACTGTGGCCTCCTCAGCTGGCACCTTTCTAAGAGCCAGTGGTGTCAGAACTCCGCACCATGTATTTCACCTGTATGCTCTCTAGAGAATTTTTTTTTTCTCCAGAGAATTGTTTCCATGTCTTTTGCTCCTGTCCTAATTGGATTTAGTTTGGAGCTCTTTGTGTATTCTACAAAAGTGTATATTCTACACTCTGCCAGGTGTGTGGTTTGCGAACATTTTCTCCCAGTCTATTTTTTAATTACTTTTATTCGGGGCTCTTACAGCTCTTATCACAATCCGTACCTTCACTGAGTGTGTCGTATATGTTGCCATCCTCATTTTCAAAGTGTTTTCTACTTGAGCCCTTGATATCAGCTTTTTTTCCCCCTTCCCTCCCTCATGAACCCTTGATAAATTATTTCCCAATCTTATATTGTCTGCTGTCTCCCGTCGCCCACTTTTTTTTGTTCGTCCCCCTGGGAGGGGGTTATGTGTCGATCCTTGTGATCAATTCCCTTCTCCCCCCACCTTCCTCTTAGCCTCTGCTCTCATCATTGGTCCTGAGGGGTTTCCCTGTCCTAAACTCCCTGTGTTGCGGGCTCTTATCTGTAGCAGTGTGTGTGCTCTGGTCTGATCACATTTGTAAGGTAGCATGGAGGTCATGACAGTGGGTGGGGTGGGAGGTGGGGGAAGAAAGCATTAAAGAACTAGAGGAAAGTTGTATGCTTCATTGGTGCTATACTACACCCTGACTGGCTCGTCTCCTCCTTGTGACCCTTCTGTAAGGGGATGTCCAATTATTTAGATGGGCTTTGGGCTCTGGGTCTTAGATGCCTGATACCAGATCCCATCAACACTTCATGATCACACTGGCTGGTGTGCTTCTTCCAAGTGGGCTTTGCTGCTTCTCTGCTAGATGGCCGCTTGTTTATCTTCAAGCCTTTAAGACCCCCAGATGCTATATCTTTTGATAGCTGGGCACCATCAGCCTTCTTCATATTTGTTATGGTTAAAAGATTAACCGTAATTTCAGTTGGCATGCACCCTCTCATTTTTGGAGTCCGTTTGAGTCAAGAACCAAGTAAAGCCTCCATGTGCTGATATTCCGTTCATATGCCTCTCAAGCCCCTTAGCCTACAGTTCTTTTTCTTTTCCCACCTTTAAATTGTACTCATTGTGTGGCTCATGATTTATACTAAGTAAAACATACACCATTGAGTAACATTGTGTCGCTTTCTTTGAGTCATTCAACCATTCCCTCCCACCCTCCTTTTCCCAGCCATCCCCCTTTAATGGGAACTCCACTGTCCCTAAAGCCCCGTCCAATCTCTCAAGTTGCTGTGGTCCTTCTGAGCTCCCCATATAGGAAGTTATTAAAGATCACAGTGCTCAAGGCAGACCTTTCTCTGTTAGCCAACCTACAGTATCGCTGGTTTCTAAGACTACTTTAGGGGATACTTCTTGGTTTAAGGGTTCAAGGTTTTCTTAGTGGAATGATTTCAAGAATTCATCTACTTTTCAAGTCTAGGGTCCACATCTACGAGAATTTGAAATCTGTTCTACATTTCCCTCCCTTTGATCAGGATTATTCTTCTGTGAAATCTTGGAACAAAATGTTCAGTAGTCATCATCTGGAAAGGATGCACTTGCACACCCGATTCATCACAGTAGCACAACCAGAGTTATGAAGTAGCAATGAAAATAATTTCATGGCCCTCAGGGAGACTAATTTGGGATGAGGCGGGTCACCACAGCATGAGGAACTGTATTAAGGGGTCGCGCATGAGGAAGGTGGAGAACCGCTGCTTTGGAAGCCCCACTGAAAGCTGTGTGGCATCATAGCCACCTGCCGGCCTCCACCATCAAGTGCCCACTGGGGGCGAGCGGCACTGGTCTGTGACCTGAACCTGGGCTTCCCACACAGAAAAGTGCCAACAGAATCCCGCCACATTTCTGGGTGAACATCATCACTGAGACCCCAATACCCACAGCGGAGGCCATGCTTTCCTGCCCCCTCACCCCTGTCCCTCCAGACCCCCTACCTGCACCCTGGGGATTTCCGGGCAAAAGAAGGCGGCAGACAGCGCGGGCGGCACTCGGTAGACATCATACATTTATTAGTGAATATCCCTCTGAAATCAGCAACAATATTAAAAAAAATAATGATTGCACTACTTGGTCAAGCAGAACTAGCAACTTTCATTTTAAAAAAAGTACAAATCTGTTAAAAATTTCAATCAGTATACACATATATATAATACAACATACTAGTTATGTTAAATGCTACAAACCAATGTGAATCCAATAGAATGGAAAAAACCACACATTTAAGCTTTAAGAACCATTTTTTTCTCTATATATTAGCATTTTCTCAAATACATACATGGGAAAAATGAGGTAACTGTAAAATGTGCAAGGAATAGGGCCCCCCATTACATATATATATATATACACACATAGAATTATATGTATATATATAAATATAAAACCTTTCCAACACACGACACAGGCGCTGGACCCAGCCAGGGCTGGGGCGGCGCCCACGGTCATGCCTAGGCCAGAAGTCGGTCAATCAGAGTAAACAACGACAAGCCCCCACCACAGGAAATCATTGGTAACATGGCATCTATAGCAAGATCAGCAAATCACAAACATCCTAAATAATTGTCTTATAAATCTTTTTTTTTTAATGATTTTTCTTTAAATGTTGTGCCCCACCCTCCCCCAGTAGCTGCTCGTTGGCATCGTGGCTGCAGCCGAGCCGACAGGACATGCAGGCGTGAGCCCGTTTCCGCCTGCCCCAGGAGCTGTGAGGGTTTTCTGCAAACCTCTGTTGGAGTGGGGAAGGGAGGGGGGTTGGAGCGGGTGGTTCTCTGTGTAAAACACGTGGGTTTTCAACACTGCTATAAATATAGAAACGTCACCTGGAGTTATATACAGTAAGACTTTGGGTTCTCCTCAGGGCTGGGGCCAGGCTGATGGGGCCCCAGGAGGGCTGGGTGGGGGTGGGGGGCCAGGGCGGCTGCAGGGAGAACGAGGGTGGTTGGAGCATCCCTGAGGCAGCAGGCGCCAGGGGCTGCCTGCTAGGATGTGCCGGCCCCACACGCGGTTCGTTCATTGGGGCAGCTACCCCAGCGGGGGGAGGGGCTTAGATGGGGGTGGGGACCGGGAGTTGGGGGAGCTCAGCCAGACCCTCCAGGGCCCCCTCCCTCCAGACCGTGCAGAGCAGGGCCCAGAGGCTGGAAAGGGCCCCGTGGAAGGGGGCCATGCCCTCCTTGGTCCTTAGTCCCTGTCCTCCGGAAGCCCTGGCAGGTGAGAGGCGGGCCCTGGTTGGAGGGAAATGCCCTGAAAAGCGAGCTGTCACGGTCGGCTCTGGGTACATGTGCAGTACAGTGCATGGCAGTTTTCAGCTGAGCACAGACCCCCACCCGTACGCCCGCCCGGCCCAGCCCCAGCCGCTCACATGCACGCAGGCCGGGCTGCTCTGGTGGGCATCCCTGCTTGGGGGCACTCGGTCCTGGGTGGTTCCTATACCCCCCCCCACATTAAACCAAAAGGAAAAAAAGAGTTTTTAAAATCCACACCCCCAAATCCTATACGCAATTTTGGGCCAAATGAATAAACGCAAACTGCTGCTCCTCACATTCATGCACAAGGACAGGGGCTCGGGCAGGCAGGCGGGACCGCGCAGGGAGGCCGACAGGAGTGGCCCTCAGGGACCTTGACCCCTTGCCATGCCTACTGTCTGCGAGGCGGGTGGGCTCTGTGCCCTCCAGCCTGGGTCAGGGGAGTGGAATGTGGCCAGAGTGAGGGTCTCCTCAGAGCCAGAACCATCCAGCTCAGCAGCCTGAGTCTGCCTGAGACCAAGGTGGGAAGATGCGGCCAGAGGCTCAGGAAATGGCCTAGCGCCCACCTGCCTGGGCGCTCTCCAGCGCCAACTGGGTCAAGGGGACGCCACTTCAGTGCAAGAGACCAGGTGATCCAGGAGGGGCCCCGCTGCCCATGCTGAAGCCCACCGTCCCCACCAGCGTCAGAGAAGGGGCCCTGGTTCCCGGGGCCAAGGAGGAAGAGAGAGGCCCCAGGCAAACTGGAGAAAGGCGGGGGGAGGCTCGGATGGCCCCCATGGCGAGAGGACAGGCAGGCAGTGGCCCCCATGGCGAGAGGACAGGCAGGCAGATCGGGGAAGGAGTCTTTGGAGCTTGGCAAATGCAGGGGGCTTATTGCAGGGGCGTCTCTCAGGGCTGACCCTGGCACCAGCTCTGGAGAGGCAGGCAGGATGGCGGGGCAGGCTCGGGAACTCCCTCCCATCCTCCTGGGGTCCCGCCCCCCAAGGTTCCGGAGCTCTGGGCAGGGCTCTCCTGGACAGCTGTGAGGCCTCACTCGGCCTCCCTGGGCACCTCGGAGGCGTCTGCCCGGCAGATGGGGCATGTCCGGTTGGCCTGGGAGGAAGGGGGTGGGGGGAGAACAACACATCAGGCTGCAGCCTCACCTGCCCTCTGCCCCCCACTGCTCACACCCTCCTGACTCTAGGGATCCTGAGGCCCCCTGCAAGGAGCGGGAACTTCTGGATGCTAAAGATGAGGGGGGAGCCCTCCAAGCCACACCCCTTCTCCGGTGTTACCTTTAACCACTTGTCCACACACTTGGCATGGAACTCATGGTTGCAGGGGAGGACCCGGAGCAGCTGCCGTGCCTCGAAGTCACTGAAGCAGACGACGCACCTAGGGGTCAGGGAGGGAGGCCCAGTCATCTAGGTTGGCTGAGAACCCCGTGAGGGTCAACTCCCCAGCCCCCACACCCACACCCTGGGGTGGTGCCGGCGGCACTCACAGCGTCTGCTCCGACTGATGGCTGTCGGGGTTGAAGCGGTAGGATGGTAGCTGCTCTATGTCGGCTTTGGTGAGGCCTCGAGGCTTGGCATCGCCCAGGCGCTCTGCCAGGTTCAGGAGGGCCTGCATTGGGGGTGATGGGGGGGCCTGTCACCAACCGCTCTGCGGCCAGAGCTCTCCCCTGCTCCCGTGGTAGGTGCCCTCCTACCTCATAGTTCTCCATTTCCACATCGTCCACATCGAGGTCCAGGCTGATGGTGGGCCCCATGGCGGTGGGTGACATTGGCAGCATCGAGCTGAAGGGGACAAGTGTGGACCCTCAGGGGCAGACAAAGCAGACGTTTGCCTGGGGACAGCCCGAGGTCTGGAGCACAGAGGCCGGCAGTGCCCTGGGGCAGAGCTGCTGGTACTCACAGGAAGTAGGGCAGGAAACTGGGGTAATAAGGTGGTGGTGGTGGCGGCGGCGGGGGTGGTGGCATCGGCTGTTGCAGGCGGTATCTCTGGGTGCTCAGTCTCCGCGGCATCATGTGGGAATATGGCTGAGGGAGTGATCAGCAGCAGGTCAACCCAGGGCCACACCAGCCCTGCCCTGGCCACCGGTGTGTGTGTGGGGGGGTGGGCACTCACCATGCCGAAGGGCAGCTCCTGGGGCAGTGGCTCATGCGGCAGGTAGTGCAGTGGCACAGAGGGAGAGAGGGTGGGACCAGGCGCAGAGGTGGAGTAGGTGAAGCTCCCCAGGGGGTGCTGGTCCCCCCGCAGCTCCACATCGTTGTCAAGCCGCTGCAGGGGCTAGAGGAAGTGGGGCTGGGGTTGGTGTGGCTGGCCAGGCGGGGGAACTTCCACAGGCCCCGGCTGCAGCCCCACTCCCCACTCACCATCCTCGGGTGCTGGGTCTGCAGTGACATGAACTGCCCCAGCGGCGCCATGTGGGGAGGCTGGGTAGGCGGGGCTGGCGGCGGTGGCGGGTGCAGGATGTAGTGGTCGCTGGAGAGGAGGGGCGGGTAGACCTGGTAGGGCACTGGGAGCTGCTGCATGGTGCACGCCTGGATCAGCTGTGGGGATGGCACGGCTGGACAGGGCTCCTCGGGCTCAGGCCTGGGTCTCCCACCAGCGTTGACCTGAGGCAGCTCGGCCCCAAGTGGGGCCCACTACACTCCTCTCCTGAGGGGGGCCATGGCCTATGGGCTGGGCACTGCTTTGCCCCCAGGATAGGGGCAAGAGCATGGTCTGGGCTGTCCGGCTCACTGGGCATACTCACCGGGGGTGGGAGGCAGCACAAAGGGTAGTGCTGTCCGCTGAACATCACGGAGCATGCTGGGAGCTGCTGGGCACTACAGCCAGGGATGGGCTGGCCCGAAGGCACCGGAAAGCCTTGAGTGGTCACGGTGGTGACTGTGTAGGACAGAGGGACGGGCCCCTGGTGCACCTGTGGAAGAGGAGGCCCAGCGGGCTGTAGGGAGGGCGGTCTGGTCACACTGGCTCCCTGTGAGAATCAGCCGGGGGCCCTTCCCAACCTGCAGACTTGGCTGCTTCCTGCCCCAGGAACCAAGAACCCTCTGGGAACCCAGTGTGCGTGGAAGGGACTACCAGCTCTGCACAGCCTCTTTCTTCTGGCCTCAGTTTACCTGCCTGAGAGCTGGAGCTGGAGCACGCAGCAGTGAGGGAAGCGGGGCGCCAAGAACTGGGACAATGTGCACACCCTTGCTGAGGCTGGAGACACAGTGGGCGGGGAGTGTTGGGGTCCGCATACCTGCTCGTGGAGATCAACCATGAACGGGCTCTGCTGGGTGGCTGGGTGCAGCATCCGGGGGCTCCCGCCGGCAGGAGCCGAGGCTCGGCGCTGCTCCTCTACAGAGAGGTGAGGTGGTCGGGGCGGCAGCTGCTGGGAGGGTAAGCGCTCATCCTGGGCAGGCGGGCCGGCCAGGGGGCCCTCACGGCCAAGGCTGCACCACAGAGAGGAAGCTCCAGTAGACTGAGGGAGCTCCTCCCTCTCTTCCCAGCTGGTACCACCAACACCCCCAACCTGACCTTCCAGGCCAGGGCAGCTCCTTACCTGTGCCGGAGCTGGCCAGGGACACTTCCGGGCCCTGCCGAGAATCGCCGCTGACCCACAGGTGCAGAGGGGGGCCACCTAGTCACTGCCACCGCCCATGGTCGCATCAGGGGTTGGAGGGACTGGGCTGGGGCTCACACCCCTAGGAGGCAAACAGATGAAGAAACTGAGGCACAGAGAGGCCCTGCTCACTCACTGCTGGCCCCATCTGGTCGGGAGAGATTCAAGCCTCTGTAGTCTGATCCCAGGGCCCCTGTGCACTGGGTCTGGCCCCTCCCAGACATCGAGTGGTCCAGCTCTGCCTTCTCAGCAGTGGCCTCAGCTTCCTGCTCTGTGAACCAGGAGGAGCCTCCCTGCAGTCAGGGCAGGTTCAGAGGGCTGGGCGGCTGGTTGGTGGGTGCCAGGAGGGTGGAGGTTCCGGGGGACTCTGGTTTCCTCTCTTCCACTGGCTGACTGACAGGCAGGAACGCAGGCCAGCCCCCTGGTTCCTGCCCCAGAGGCCCCTGGTCCAAAGCAGGGCTGTATTCTTTCTTTATTTCCTTCTTAACCTGTCCAGCCCTGACCAATCCTCAGAACATGGGCTTCGAGACTGTGGGGGCAGGGAGAGGTCCCATGGCCCCAGTGAACTGGGTGGGTCTGGCATGCACCCAAGCCCTGGCTCCAAGGGTTCCTAGGGTGGAAGGTGGGACAAGTGGCACAAAAATAGGAAGGGCTTAAGCCAGGAAGCTGAGGGGATAGTTCCCCTGCTAGGTTGGAGCTGAAGGTTTGTGACAGTAGTTAGGGCCATGGCTCAGATACTTCCAAAAGTCGCTGAGGCTGCAGAAGGCTCTGGAACCCGTCAGGCCTGGCCTCAAACAGGACCAGCCCTGAGCCCTTCCCCAGCTAACCTAATGCCCTAGCATCCACCATGTTGCTCCCTCGGGCCGCATCCCGCCTGCAGGCAGCCAGCTGGGAAGGCCCACTTCCTCCATGTGGGTAGAGAGAAGCAGAGGCCTTGGGGGAGGGAGGGGATAGAAGGAGCTGATGGCTAAGAGTTCAAGAAGAAAGAAAATGTTTTGAAATGGATGGTGACAGCAATTGTACAATTATGCTTGCTCTAATTGAATTATGGATTGTTAAAATATCTGTAAGAGCTCCCAATAAATGATTTTTAAAAAGCAGCAGCAGCAGGAGGGCCTCCTCTGAACCCGTGGGAGCCTCCACGTACAGGGCCCCAGCCCGGGGAGGCAAGCTGTGCACTGAGGAGAGCTGGCCACCCAACATCCCCAGCCCGCCCCCAAGTGACGGAGGCGAAGGAAGCACAATGACGAGGCTAAGGAGATGACTGAAGCCTGGCCTCCAGAGGGGAGAAGCGGAAGAAAACCTCGCCCCGCTGAGTAAAGGTTTCTGCTCAGCCCCCTTGGTTGCCCATGGGCCTGGGGCATGAGCACGCTTTCCTGGCCATTAGGCCACTGCCCACCACACGTTTGTGACGTCAAGTGCGGGCCGAGTGCATACACCCATTCACACGTGCACACTGGCCACCAAGGGAAACAAGAGGAAACTCACAAAGAGCAAAAACAGACTCCAGGCCCCACCCCCGAGCCTCGGGAGGGGTCTTTGGAGGGGTGGGCACCAAGGGCCAGGGTAGCAAATACCCTGAAGGTTTCCCAGAACAGCCAGGTCTGGGGCCCAGAAGCCCCAAAGCCCCACTCCCCCACCCCGTTCATCCACTGAGGGGCAACATAAAGGCAAGGACAGTGAGCCCCGGGCCAGTCCGACTGGGGCCGGCCTCACATCATTAGTCAGCCAGGCTTCTGCTGTTCCTCTTGCACCAAGCCTTCTGGCTGGTAGTGGAAGGGCCAGGGCACAGGTGCGGGGAACCCTCAAAGGCCCAGGTCTGGAGGACTCTCCCTTGTGACCAGCTCACTTCCAAGGCACTTCCTCCCTCCTCAAGAGGACAAGGAGCACACAAACCAAACCAGCAGACAGAAATGACTTCTGGCTGGGGACAACAGTGCCCAAAGCGACAAGGCCAACCATCACGTTGTCACATGACACCCAGCCTTTTGGCCAGAGTCTTGGCTGAAGAGTTTGGGCAGACCACTCGCCCTCTGACCCTCAGCCCTTCCAGGAACAACCCCTTAAGGGACAAAGGGCTCCTGGGTAGTGACGGCACCCACCGACATCCAGTCAATCCTGACTCATAGCGACCCTGAGCCTGCGTGGAACCACTTCACAGGGTCACAGGGTAGCAGTGCTTTGTGAAGTTTCAAGTCAGTCTGGATGAGAGAAGTTATTGGAAAATAAGTGATGCTGGCCCCCAAGTACAAACAGGGCAGCAGGAGCTGCGGGGAGCATGCTGCTTGGGAGGAAATGCCCAGGTAGGGAGGGGAGGGGTCAGTGCTTCACTTCCTAGAAGAGAGGCCCACCTAGAGGACACACCCACTTCACAATAGAGCAAACTAAGGCTGGCTGTGACTTACTCTAGGCCACAAAGCTAGAGGGGGTTTGAACTAGCCAAGCAACCTGGGCCCTGACTCTCACTGGCACCAGAGGCCCCCAAAATGAACTTCCTTATCCGGATTCTCTCACTGGGGAGGAAAAGCAAGTGGGGTCCTGGGGGAAATTAGCAACTTGCTCAAGGTCAAATAGCATGAACTACCCCTAAACCTGCTCTGCCTTTCCAAGGGACCCTCCCCCCAAGGTGTGTACAAAGGTAACCTTGCAGGTTCCAGCAGGTAGTCCATGCACTCTGCAGCATTCCTGTCTCCCCACCACCCCCAACACAGACAGCCAGTTCTAAGCCGCGATCCCCACCATGCTTTAGAGAAGCCTTGACCACGGGGATCCGTGTGCACCGCTTTTTAGCAGATGAGTAAAGTCAGACCTCAGCAGCTTGAGTAGACTAGCAGGCTGAGAAGCTACCCTACCCCCACACCCCTGCCCCAGGGCAGGTGATGAAGGCTCCCTCTAACTTGACTGAGCTTCCCAATGTGCGGTGCCTGGAGGCCCTGAGGGCCAAAACCACCAGGCTCTGAGCTAAGTCCTTGGCCAATTTCCTGGGTGACCTTGGGCAAGGAAATGCCTTACTTCTGTGAGCCTCAATGGCCACCAATATAAAACGGGGGTGGAGATATCTCCTTCCCAGGGTACCCCAAATGTCCTAAGTCTAGAAGTGAAAAAATGAGGCGGTCATGTTTCATTATTAGTGCGGGAGGCAATCAGTGTCCCTGTGGGCCGGGCCTCCCCCAACATAGGCCAGTGGTACCTTGCGGGGCTCCAGGTAGCTACCCGTCTATTCCGCTCCCAAGGTGGGCTGGGGGGCCAGGGCTCGGACATCAGGGCCCAGAGGTGCCGCTTCACTTCCCCCAATTCCTTTGTGCCTCGCTCACAGGGACACTGCATGGCCGGGGACCAGCCTGCGGCGCCCGGCCGGAGCGCTGTGACTTTAAGAGCCGAGGATCCCGGACCATGTGCTCGGCGTGAGACAAAAGCAACAACAAAGGAAGTGGCGGCAGCAGGGGGAGGGGGCGGCTCCTTCCCCTCCAACCGCAGCGCTCAGCCTCCTGAGGGGGAGATCCGGTCCGGCCTTGGGGGTCCCCAGTTCCAGGGGTCTCACCAACCCCAACCCGGCTCCCGTGATTAACCCCTGGGAAGCCGGCTAGACCAAGGCCCCTCAATCCCAGAGAAGGACAGGAATCTCAAGGGTGTGGGAATCGGGAGTTAGGGGCCCTGGCCCCGACTCACCTTCGGCTGCCTGGCCACACGTTGACTCCTTTGTTCTCGTTCGAGGGCAGCGAAGCTGGGCAGGGCGCGGGAGGGCACCCTCGACCCTCTAAGAGCCCCCGACCTGCGGAACAATGTGCTTTCCTTCCCACCCCTTGGTCCGGGGGCAGCCCGGCTCCTTCCGGGGCCTTCTCTCTTTGTTGTCCTCCCGACCACGTCTGCTTCCCGAGGCCCACGCGCGGTCCGCCTCTCCCAGCCTAGGCTCTTGAGAAGCGGGAGGGGGAGGCGGTGCAGGACGGGCCGTGTTTGCGCGGCAGCTGGCAGCTGGCCCTTTAAGAACTGTCCGCCGCGGCAGCGGAATGTAACAAACCTCACATTTGATTCACAACATTCAGAGCGGCGGGGTCGCGCGCCGGGTGGGAGGGGGCTCGCGGGGGCGCGCCGGGAGGCTCCGGCAAACAGTAGCCGGCGGCGAGCCCGCGAAGACTCCACCCCGCAACGAGAGCTCCGCCCCCAAGGGCCACGAGAACCAATCACTCACCGCAACCGGGCACGTGACCACCGGACCGCCATCTTGAGAGGCAGGCTCTTTTTTTAAAACCACCTCCTCGCCCCCGCCTTCGCGTTTAAAGTTACCACAGCGATAGTTAAGAGGCAAGGGGCGGCGCCACGGGTCCTGGCCTAACGAAGGAGAGACCCAGGGGTGGCACGATCATAGCTATCGGCGGCAACTCGATGCACCACGCCAATTCGCGAACCACCACGCCAATGGGCCTCAGTTTCCCTGCCTGAGAAATGGGTCCCTCCCGATCATCCGCAGTCCGGACTTACTGTGCCAAGGTCCTCTCCTTGGGGATGGAGCATCGTCCCAGCCACTGAAGTGCAAAGAGCTAGAGCTAGGCGGCCAAGGGGTGGGGACAGGCCTCTTGAACCAGCCTAGAGGTTTGGATGTCCCTAACAACGCTGGGCCGGCCCCCTTCGCGGAGATGACGTCAGCTCCCCAAGCTGCTGCGCCGCAATGACATCATGGCACTGCTGCCCGGTAGCTCCTTGTTTATACACGGCGGCTTTAAAAAAAACTGGGCGGGTCTGGCTCGCCTAACGGACCAATGAAGGGCAGCGGATGCAAATAAGCTAACGTCTGCCAGTCAGGGGGATTGGCTCTGCGCGCACTGACGTAACAGAAATTGAGCCCCCCCCCCAGCGTGGCTGCAGCAGGGGAAGGGGCGGGGAGCAGTTTGTAGGGGGCAAGACTGAACTGCTGGGTCGCCCGGCCTTCCCTCGGACCGGCGTCCCCGCAAAAGGAAAATCGGGGAACTACGCCCAATGAAGCCCGTATACGTCCCGAGTTTCCTACTCTCCTCAGTCCCAGCAGTTATAAGAGAAAAAGGATCACCGGTTTGCCCAGTTTACAAACGGGGACCGTCTTGGAGATTTAAGTGGGGGGCGGGAAGGGGGCATCATTTGTCTCTGGTCACACAACTACAAGTAGGGGAATCTGAACCCCAGTCAAAGCCACGCTGAGTTCCTTTGTGCCTCGATGCCTTCCCAGTCAGACATTATACAGAGGGCTATAGTATCTACAGCAATTACAGAAGCCAAAGTAATTCCTAAAAGCAGTGATACCCGAAATGTCCAAGATCCGGACAGACTGCGCAGAGGAGGAAGCATTCACAGGACCACGGGACATCTCTTCAGGCCCCACGGAGGCCGTTGGAGGGGCGTGAGGGCCTGCCTCCAGGAGAGCTCTACACAGGGCCGCGGGTGGGCGCGGGGCAGGAGTCGTTTTCAGTACTTGGATATATTTCATAACCCCAAATTTAAAAGTTAAATACAAAGTGCTGGGCTAGCGTGTAACTACTTTAAATCGGATACACATATACAACATCAAAGGGTACAGTGGTTAACTATCCCCAAAGAGAACTAAATGGGAAAACTGGGTTAAGAGACTAGATTTGTTTTTTACTCTATACGTTTTGTAATTTTTTTTTAACAACCCTGTTAACGTTTTAACAATGGCTGGGTGGTTTTTTTTTAATCGTTTTATTAGGGGCTCATACAACTCTTATCACAGTCCATACATACATCAATTGTGTAAAGCGCATTTGTACATTCATTGCCCTCATCATTCTCAAAACATTTGCTCTCCACTTAAGCCC